ATATTATTGTATATTTTATTAAATAAATTTCAATTTTTTATATTTAAACTTAAAAAAATATATAAAATATATAAATAATATGAATGAATAAATTATAATTATATTTTAATAATCATAGTTTTTTCAGATTAATATAAATAGATATGTTATGATATCATTTTTATAATCATTATACTTTCAGATTAATATAAACAGATTAGAATAATATTTTTCTAATTGTGGTCATATATATATTAAAAAATAAATTAATAGAAGCAAATTATATAATATATATATATCACTTATTAAAAATTATATATAAACAAAAAAATACAATTTATATTATAAAATTTGATAAATACGGATGTATTATATAAAAAATTAATTAATTTTTATAATTGAGTTATTTTTATTATTAATATTATGTTATGCATCTTCCCCCGCAGTTATATGGGATTTAGTTGAAGATATATAAAGATAACGAATCAATTACTAAAGAAAATATATATAATTATAATTTCTTTCTAATTATAATTAAGAATGTGGCCTGTGAAATATGATTCCTAATTTTTTATAAGAAAGTTACTTTTTGAATAGATAAAGGCAAACCAAACGACCTTTCTTTAGAACAAGAAGAGAGCTTTCGTTAGTACCTCAAAAATCAAAGAAGCTCTTTTTTCCTTACTTAATATGTCCAATGAGCTGACCAATTTCCACCAAACTTATCCCTAATATGTCCCCCAATTAAGTAAAAAATTAACTTCAACTATAACATGAGCTAAATTAATAAAAACAAGTTTTTAAAAAAAAAATAAAAGATGAATAAATTGATATGGTTGAGAAAAGTAGAAAGATAGCGTTGTCTTGATTGAGAAAAGTAGAAAGATAGAGAAATAAATAATCAAATAGCAGACCCAATAACTCTTTCAAAACGAACTGGCTCGCTTGATCACTGACTACGAGTCGTTCTGATGCTCCTTGGACGACAGGTAGTTGTAACGTGCACCTCGTGATTTCCCTATGTTGTTGACGTGTCACTACTATTTAATCAAATTATTTTCTTTTATGTTAATGTCAGTCCATACGATATATGGTTGTCGTTCGGGAAGTCGCATCCTATAATGTGGAGTTTAAAGTATTTTCCGAAAAGGATATACATATGACTATTTTTTATTTATGTATCGAAAGAATTTAAGATAAACACCCTCTCTAGAAAGAAAGATAGAACTGCAGCAACGGAAAAATAAAAGAAATATATATATATATATATATATAAAAGAATTAATAAATGATTACAGTGAAACTAAATTATTACTCAAATTATAGCCAGAGGTATCAAGGTAATAAATTGTTTGGGCAAATTTTAATCGGTTCGTGTGTGAATAATCCTATAGAATAACGAGAAGAAATTGATCTTTATTAATCAACGAATATTGATTTACAAGCAATCAATATCGAAAATCAAAATAAGTTGGTATCGTCCGTCGTTGGGTAGTCGTCGTCGATTGGCGAGAGCGAAGGTACAAAAAAATCTGGTCATTTGGTTCTCTGTTGCGGGAATAGAGTTTTTAGGGTTTTCTGCAGTATGTGTTTGTGTGTCCGTCCTTGCTCTAGGATTTCTCTATTTATAGGGTTATGTCAATCCTAATTCTTATTGAATTAGGTTTTATATGTCGATCGGTCTTTCCATATTTATAAGGTTTATCTATTTATAGGGTTATGTCAATCCTAATTCTTATTGAATTAGATTTTATATGTCGGTCGGTCTTTCCATATTTCCCTTTGAATTGGGAGCTCATGTCGGTCGGTCGCTCCAACTTTTCTAGACGGTTTATTCAAGAATATGAACCAACGACTTATAATAAACCACTAGTCGATGTTAAACCGATTGACAAAGACGAATAGTCGATGTTGAGACTCTCTCTCTAGTGACCGTTTGTCACTCTCATTTTTTTCACGTACATGATCACAATGATCGTTCGTCATTCGTACTCTCTTATCAGCGACACGATCACAATGACCATTCGTCACTCATTTCCTCTTGCTGATGACATGATTACAGTGACCGTTCATCACTCCTTCTTTTTTAGCAGTGACATGATCACAATAACCGTTCATCAATCTTTTTCATTTAGCAGTGACATGATCACATTGACCGGATAATGAATTAATTTCATCTAACATAAGTCATCTATAATAATCTATAATCATAAATGAAATTCAAGTACTTAACAAAATAAACATTATACCAATTTTTTTTTTTTGTGATCAAGATAATGACCAAAGTTGTTACAAAGAGAATGTAGCCACGTTCGATGTTAAAAAAAAAAAAAGAATGTAGCCATGTTTTATAAAGTCACTTAAATATAATTATTCTAAAGTTAATACTAGGCTAAGCTGAAGATTTTTCCTACATACATCAATTAAATATGTCGTGTCTCAAAGAAAACGTTGAAAGAAGTGGAGATAAGTCCATAATTCTCATACTAAAGACTGTATAATTATGACAAAGTTCTTTTCTCTCTTGTTTTTTCGTCAACTTTGGCCAAAATTCTTTAAATATTCAGTCTTTTTATAATTATAAAGAAGAAAGAGGGCTTATAAAGACTATTAGTGATATTTCCTATCACTTCCAGAAATAGTTATGTCAAACAAGAAAAGTCTTACAAAATTATACAAACTCGAGAATATCAGTAAATAAAAACAAAAAAAAATAAGAAGACATTTCTAATACCAAAACTTAGGCAACCTAAAATAACAATTTGGCTTGTTGTGTTAATTTCTTATATCATATTACTTCGAGAACTTCTTTTTGATGACATGCTATTTTTATTTATTAATAAAAGGATAATTCAAAATAACTTTTTCCACTAATAGACTCTAAAGTGAAAAATTTTGGGTGGAAACACATAAGAACTTAATTAAAAACTAAGAATAATTATTATAATAAATTTAAGCAACAACTAAATAATTATAATGAAGATAAGATCAGGCAGAACATAGACGACGAACCTTTATTGCTTGAGGTGGCCATGGCCGGTCTTGAAAAATTTTGAGATTTTTTCAAAATAAATATATTTCTAAAAGTATATATATATATATATATATAATATCGTATCTAGACATATAGTATATCAATTTGTATCCATCGAATTATTGTAACAATATTAAACTTTTTACAAAATACGAACAACAAAAAAATTCCCTGTGAATATAGAAATTGGTTTGTGTTGAGTTTTGAAAAATTTCTAGTATATATATTTATGTTAATTTTTTTAATTTTTTTTATAGAGTTATATATTGGCAAAGCGGATACAAATGGAAAAATCATAAATACCGCGGCCACCTCCATTCTGGTCTGTGAATGGATTTTATCATAGCCCTTCAATGATCTATGAATGAATCCATAGGATGTTTATGATCAACATGGCTGCCAAGAAGAGCAAAAGCATATTGTCTTCATTACCTGCATGTATTCGTCCGCTAGTTTATTTCCTATCATATACTGTATTTTAACTAATGTTTGAGTTGCTTTATGTGATCTCGAATCAGCTTATTGTAATTTGATGCAAACATGTTACATGCTTCAAGGGAGAAGTTGACGCTAGCGTACAAATGTATTTGTTTGAATACAACCAATGATGTAGATGAGACAGTCTTAGGTATTGCCAAGAAATATATACACGGGGATTGGAATCTTGTGTCAGTTGTGAATGCCAAAGGCGGAGAGGGCCTTGTGTTGTTGATTAACTTGATGAGGTTATAATTTATCTGAATGTTTTCAATTTAGTTATTATTATTGTTTATTTTGTTGTTGAGTAGTTGAAGAGTTCTAGGCTGAAGTCCATATATCCATTTTTTTTTTCTCTTTGTTTCTTTGTGTGTCTCTATATATAAAGTTCTGTCAAAAATCGAAAATACTATAAAATATAACATTCATACAAAAAAAAAAGGTTCATACATCTCAAGTATGTTAACAGTGAGAACATGGGGGTTGAGAATCACCCAAACTGGCGATTGTATCACTTACTAAAGAAAGAGTGGAAGTCATTGTAAAAAGATAAAAAATGGATGTCAGGATTCTTTGGAAGAAGCTTTTGATATTATATAAGAAAATGGTCGAAGATTATAGAATTGTATGATATACATTACACTAGATAGAGTCATGAAGATACACAAAGGATACATATGAGATACTAATCGTAACAACAGAAAAAATCGAATGACATCAGCCATTTATCCCAAAAGCTGCAAAATTTCTGGAAGCATGGACGAATCTTGTCTCAGTCTATGATAGATTAACAAGACGACATAAGAACATAGTTGCGGTATATTTCATTCTTGTAATTATCGACATATTCTTTTTCTCTTTCTTTTTGGTATTATCTTACAGACCATTTGAATAGTGAATTGTTGTAAATAATCCCTGTCGAAATTAGCTTCGTTTTCACATTGAAAATTAATGAAACTCGTTAATGCCTTTGTCCAACATTTTCGTTTTTAATAAAAAAAAAAATTGAGAGGCGTGATTTTGACAAATTTTGTATTCAAATTGAGTTAGATAAATATCACAATTAGCTAGAAACTCAACAGTGTGATTAATCTATATTTGAATTATTTAATTCAACACCCAAGATAACAAATTATTTTCTCGTAAATTTCAAAGATATTTGAGTATCTCTATATAAGGGAAATGTGAAAACGGGAACTGATTACTCCCTAGTCCCTTTTAAAGACTACTTTAAGGATAACGTTTATTTAAATACAACAAGTTTTGCTTAAGTGCGAATGTGGAAATAATTTTAGTTGAGCTGCCTAAGTCAATCAACCGTTGAAACGGAAAAGAAGAATTTAGGAGCCACCGTAAAGGTAGAAAATAAACTACTAAAAAAATACGTCACAACTAATATATATGACATCATCATTCTCCTCTGTCTCTCTCTCTATATATACACTCGCAATCTTCCTTATCATAAATCACTTCACTCTACACATAACACTTTCGCTCACAAAACTACTTTCATTGCAGGTCCTTCCTTATTTAAAACTCAACTAACTAACACAAAAAGAAATAGATTATCAGTCTAGCCCCCAAGAAATCAAGAATCATGCTAAAGATGGAGATTAACGGTGGCACTTCGGCTGCTACACCTACTGCCTCCGACGTCGCCATCCCCGTCGCTGCCGTTTCAGAAACAACCACTCCCGTCACCTCTCCTTCTCCCACTTCTTCACCTCCGCCGCCTCTTTCGCCGCAGCAGCCGCCACAACCGCCGGTGGTGCTAAGCCCTTGTGCGGCTTGCAAGATTTTGCGGCGGAGGTGTGCTGATAAATGTGTTTTGGCGCCGTATTTTCCTCCAACGGATCCGGCGAAGTTCACAATCGCCCACCGTGTGTTCGGAGCTAGCAACATTATTAAGTTCTTGCAGGTACTTTTCTTTTCTTGTTTAGTATTTGTTACACGTGTGTATTTTTTATGTATATGTCATCACGCACGTGTGGACATGACCAGATATTTCACATTTGCTTATTAATATCCCTAATATTTATTATCAAGATTATAATGAGGAAAATCAACATAAACAATCTCTAGTTGTTATTACTAAACAATTTTCACATTAGAAAGCGTTTTTGTTTGTTTGTTTTTTTTTAATACTACCAAGTGTTTTTTGTTATTTTTATATAAAAAATTCAACTTTAATTTTTTAATTGAAAAAAAATTCTGGTTTACAAAATGTGAAAAGGAAGTTAAAGTGGTTAAAAGTCTAGTTGTTGAACAATAATGGGTTCATAAGTCATGTGACCAAAACTAGGGCCTACAATTGTAACGAAAGGTCAATAACAACCTTTCCTCAAAGCAACATGCAGCCTCACTATTATAAATGTTCAACATCAAAATATACATATCTAACCCTTTAAGATAAAAAAGAATAAAAGTCTTATGCATAATTACATATGTCTATTTCAACAATTCCTTTTCATTCACCTTTGGAAAAAGTCATGGAAGAATTCTTCATTGGTCAAACATCAAAAATACAAATTTACAATATTACTTATAAAAAATTGCCAATCATTTCAAATATCCAACATTAAGCTACTATCCACATTCCACAAAATGTCCAAGACTTTATATCCTCTTCTTAAATATCATTATGATTTGATTTTAAATATGTATCATGTTTTGTTTTTGTATCAGGAACTTCCGGAATCGCAGAGAACCGATGCGGTTAATAGCATGGTCTATGAAGCGGGAGCTAGGATGAGAGATCCGGTTTATGGATGTGCGGGTGCAATTTACCATTTGCAGAGACAAGTGAGTGAGCTTCAAGCACAACTTGCAAAAACGCAAGTAGAGCTAGTGAGCATGCAACTCCAAAGATCGGATCTACTTGCATTGTTATATAAAATGGAGCAAACAAAGTTATTAGCACAAGAGCAAGGACAACAAAATATGTCGTTTGAGAGTTCATTTGAAAGTGGTGATGAGTTCATTAGTAGCCCCGACGAAGTGGTGATGAGTTCATTCGGATTCCTTGAGGAGGACAACAACAACAACAACAACAACAACAATAATCCATTATTGTCGTGGTGGGATCCTCTTGAGACATGATTATAACTTATGGTATTATTAGCTCACTTTAAAGCACTTTAGTGGTTACTTCCATATGCATGTTGAAGACCTAGGATATGATATATGGGGAGTTTTTTTTTTATTTATCTTAGTCAACCAATCATATGTAAGCACGTAACAAAACTGCTACAACCAATCTTGGTATAATGTAGGGATATTAGCAAAAAGAGGTGTATTAAGATTCTAAGAATCTTCTCCTGACGCTAATAAGAAGGAGATAATTGAGATGCAATTTAAATTTAATGGCTAAACCGTTTTGTATAATATTTTGTTTTTGTTATTGTTTATGGTTTTTGAAAAGGACTTTCCCAATAAAAAAGAAAAAAAGAAAAATGTGACTCAACGACATCGAACCACCGAGTTGAAATACAAGAGCAAATCAACTCGGAACCATATTTTTGTGTAACGAAGAATGTGACATCTTGAAGAACAAGTGTTATCAATAATCATTGTATTTTAGATTAATAAAGAGAAGGAGGTCACTGTTAATCTTTTCTCGTACTCATTTTGGAAGCGACTATTGTGCAGTATCTCTTTCTTCTGACGAGTTATTTGTTTGTGTACTTTGTGAATAATACAAAACTTCAAGTTCTTGAAATCATACAATGTGAAAGGCGAATTAACTTCATTCGCTAAGGAAACGACGAAGACATGACATGTCTCTGTAGAGTACAGCGAGTACAAGACATTACGCGTTTGCTCCATGTGACAACATGTATACATATGTACATGATCTATTTTTAATACGCACTCATGTATGTGTGGACAAATAAATTTCACTAAGGTTTAATTACTGATGGAATTAACTAACAACCTCGATGCTAAAAAGATAATCTAACAACTTTAATGATGGTGTTTTCAAGGGTAAAAATTATTTGGATTATTGACCTTAATCATTGTGTTCCGACTGTCTCCCAAAATGTTCTCTTTCGAGTATAGGAATGTGATTCTCGAAACTCTTTTTTTTGTTTAATTGAACATATTTCAGTAACCAATAACAGACGAATATATCTAAAACTCGCATTTTTCTAGTAATCAATTAACATATAATAAAAAATGTGTTACGGACATTTATCACAGAAAATGTCCACGTTGACTTGAACATTATTCATGAATTATTCATGAATGCTTTACTCTTAATTAATACTCAAACAAATGAAGAACAAAATCAATAGTGGTCCAAAAGGACCAAAACTAATGTATACAGATTACCGACATCATGTGCATCCCTCGTGACTGTCATGACAAGCAAAAGAATATTATGTGCATCGTTAATTCGTTATTTGTCGGCACGAAGTCGAAATGAATAATCACCACTATGAATTATGTATAAGAAAAGAAACAAAATGAAAACATGTAAGTTATTTTTTTAGCATTGCTCTTTACTTATTTTTATACTAGCTAGTTCGAACATGGTGGCATGAAAAATGAAAGGGATATAAGTTTGTATACAGTAACTTTGACCCACAAATGGAATTTTGTTTCATACCTCAAAAGATTTGTAGTCAAAGCTAAAAGAAAAAAAAATACTTTTTCAAGAAACAAAATGTTTACTAGGTAATGCAGGTTTAGCCGTTTAAGAAAGAAAAAAAGTTACGTATGTATTTCTGCCAAAATATCATTTCACACTGGTTCTGGATTTTAAAACCCTTGTGCATGATCTGAAAGTCCAACATTTTCTCGTTAAAAAAACCCAATTGATATCGTTAATCCAATATAAATATATATATATATATATATTATGTAATATTTAAATTAGGTTTGAAGGCAATCAGGGTATATATTTGTAATGATTACACAAATTGGCTTTACTTTTTCTAGTCCCTTTGTTATCATAAGCAGCCGAAAGGAAAAACAAAGTACCTACCTTGAGTCCTTCCAGTTTCATAATTGCATCAGTTAGAGAATTCGACCAAACCAAGACCTTGAATATTAAATCAAAACCTCGAACTCGACCAATCCAAAACCTCGAACTTCATCAAATTTTTCTAAATTTTATTTCATAGCAATTCCTATCTATAATCCTAGAAAGAAATATATTAATTCAAACTTCACAGAAGGGAGGTTTTTATGGTATTTGAGCCTCGATATAACAAGCGAAAGATATAACAAATTTTGGTCACATGGGTCCTACTGGTCCTTTTGAAACCCATAGTTGGAGTCGAACCCAGGAGCTGATCACTGGATAACGAACCATGTAGAAAATCACTGGCCTGCAAGACTCCAACTAACTTAATTATCTCTATTATAAAACATTAGATATGTGTTTGGTTATGAATATGTCGACATATTTGGAGAAAAAACCCATTCAGTGCATGTATCTCCTATATATTAATTATTATTAACATAGAAGTTAGCATTTAAGATTTATAGTTTAATTGTGATGAAATGATTTACAAGGTGTCAATCTGAACGTGATATGTAAACATCGTTTCATGGATAGACGAAGTATACGACATCCTGACGAATTCCACACAACATGCTGAAAACATTAATATCCAAAGTAACTTCCGAACTTGTTCAACATGCACATGCACATTGGAAAAAGGAAAATTGCATATTTTAACCATCAAGGTAGAAAAAAAATAACACTTACAATTTTGGTAGAATTACACTAACACGTTCAATTTCAAATAAATTATATTGACATCTTAAACCTTCAATGTGACTATTTTGTTTGGGCCACTAGAAGGTATAACTATTCGGTTTCCGATGAAGAAATGGTGACATCTCAGTAATGTATACACACAACTTCATCAATTTCTTTAAATAAAATACATCAACTGTTTCAATTAGGATATTGTCTTCTTTTTAAAACTCAACAAGAATATCCAAAATACATTTTATTCTATTGCTTGATTGCTTCTGGTACAGATTTTTTTTTTTTTTCTATTTTGGATGAAACCAAAAGAGATGATAGTACTATATAGCACTGAGTTGAGTGAGATTTTTGTTTTCCAATTTCAAACATGCAATAATTTGACACGATGCTCGCCCCCGAGCGGCAGTCAAACGGAGGCGAATGCAATATGCTAGCTACTATATGTGACCACGTAACGACTCATTTTCCATACCTAATTAATCGGTATTGCTTATTACCTTTACTTTTTTTCCATAACTCATTTTACTTAAAAAAAAAAATCAGATATTGGTAACTCAACCGATTGAATATATAAATATAAAGAGCGTTCGCATGCATGCGTCAGTCTGAATTTGAACTCTGATGATACAAATGAGAATCGTTTGTCAAACCAGCTTGATCAAAAATTACTAATCAGCGGTAAGACACAATATGTTCAGTCTTTAGAAATATAATAAGAAAACATGTGGAATCAAGATAAGGTGTGGTGGATATGACGCGCCAACAATACTAAAAGCCTTTACAACTTTATTAGATTTTTATTCCATCTATAATAATATAATTAAAACTCATATCAAGACAAAAGTCCAAACTCTACCTCATTTTTTAATATATTGTTTGATGGAATATAAAGTAATGTATAACTGATATACACTAACTAGTTTTGAGATAGAAATCTATATATAAAAAAAATATTCTTTTTGGGTCTAAAAATAAGATGTAATTTGATAGTAATGCTATAGTCATGTTTGTTTTAAGTAAGGTAATCCAAGTATGATATATGTCAATTTCAAAATGAGATTAGGTTAAAGATGAGTTTGAAGAATCATCGTTTTAAATTTTGAATAAGCATGTTAAGAATTTTACATTGAGAAAACGCTGAAACCTAAAATTAACATATATAAAACATAAACTATTATATTTTATTAATTCATTTTAAACTTAACATTATTCATTCAAAGTACGAAAGAATATGTACAAAAATTAATGACAAAAACAATAGATTTCTAGAAATAAATACTACTTTTCAACGAGGGTTCGCAGCCGAGTTATGGTGCACGTATGGATGTGCACATGCACACGGTTTGCGTAGTTTGTCAACATGTTAAATAAATACTAAATGATAAACGAAAAATTCTAAAGTTAATATCATTCGTTTTTCTTTTTGTTGAAAAAGGAGTTTTCATTTCTTTTTAGCTTTCTGATATAGTGAATGCAAGTGCAAATGTGTAATCTTTCTTAAAAAAAAGTGCAAATATGTAAGCGTGTGAAGGGGACAGTGCTAAACTTGAATAAAATGGCGCAGTCTTCTCAGTTTTTGCATGGTTCTCTATTCTCATTGCATCCAAACCCGCATGGTTCTATTTTGCTGACCTATAATACTTAAAACAAGAAAAATGATTATTAGCTTAGAAACAGCTGTACTTGTTAACAACGATATGTAGTTTAGTGTTTTGTGGTAAATTAGTAATACAAACCATTTACGAAAAAAACAGCGACATAATTAATCTTTGATAAAAGAAAGATAGGATGATATGGAGAATGAACTTAGTAGTCTTGTATATTATGTTAATTTTTTGTACAAGACTGACATATATTACAGGAATTATAAATTATCAAATTACAAGACAATCAAAAAGGAATTCTGTGCAAGATGCATGAGGGAGAGAACAAAAAAATATGAGAAGATATGATTGATGAATCAAAATTATCAAGATCGGAGGAGAAGGAAAAATTAAAGAAATAAATCCCATTATGAATATAATGGAACGTTCCACCTCAGTTTAATTAGTTTTCGATATTTTCGTTGTCATCATGATCAACAAGTTTCAAACAACTAAATCCCATTATGAATATAACTTCAAATTCTATCTTGACAAGATAAAAATTTCAAGTTTCCTTTCTAGAAGAAACTATAAACAATATTGCTGGCACTAGTGAACAATTGTTTTTCTAGGACAGCGCGAGACTGAGACTTGTTATGTTGATTTTTTACTAATGTCGAAGAAGAGACACAACGCGGTTTCATTTCTTTTGAAACAAACATAATTAATCATCACATTCTTTTATATAAATAATATTTGCCTTTCCAAATAGTCTTTTAAGTGTTTTCTTCTGTCTGCAAGTTGAAACTATATGCGAAATATTGATTCTTCGAACCGTACAAAAGGTCAATTTGACGATTTAACTTCTTTTTCTTCTATGTAGCATGTAATTAACTTTCAATTTCACTATGTTGACTATCTATTATTTAAATAGAAGGTTGAACATATTTTTTTTCTTTCTCAGCAGACAAAATGGTTTTATTGCTGTTACTAAAGGTGTTTTTTTTTTGGCGACGATTACTAAAGATTTATGTCAACTAGATTAATATGCGCATGTTTTTGTTTTTATTAAAAAGAAAATAAAGATTGTAAATTTTCTCATTCCTCGCAACAACTCGAGCCTTCCATTCTTTGCCAAGTGAATTGGGCCTCAAACTACTTCAAAGCCCAAACCCGAAACTGTTCTGATACTTATTAAAAAATGCTATAAATAATATATATATATATACTGTATATGTATTAAGTCCAAATTTTTACCATTTGATTAATATCTTATACTAGAGTATAACTGTCCATAACTCATTCATCAAATTTGTTTTCTTTATTTGTCTGAAATATTTTTGTTCATTACAGATTATAAAAACTATTACAATTGACAATTTTATAATTGAAAATATATTCATTTCATAAGAATCCATGCAGACTAAGACAATAACAAATATTTTTTTTTACACCTGAAACCACAACGAATAACTTTTATTATACCACGCTAAAAAACTTCTTATAAACTTATTTATTTCTATTAATAACTTGCAGAAATGGTATTTTCTAGAAATCAAATTTTGGACCTCTTAATGTAAGAGAATTAATTAACCTTAAATCGATTATTGGATTAAAGGACTTTCACACTCATCAAATTTATTAATATTTTAAAATTTGATCATTTCACCTAATTAGATAATTTCCCAATTAAAAAAAAAATTGTTTTCCAGCCTAAATCAAATATGATAATTCTTAGGAAAATGAAAACCATTGTTCTACTATCACTGATAC